ATAGGTGCCAAATTTCAAGTTTGTAGGCTTTACGGTTCTGGAGATTTTGTGATGATGCATGAGTGATATTTCACTTTTATATATATCTATAGATTCAAATTCAAACTAAATTGCGATGTTTCTCTGGGTCACATATATGTGTGTATGTGGGTATATGCATAATAGTTATCTTTTGGGAGCAACGAAATTTCATTTTAATGTATGCTGATTAGTAGTACACTTAATGTGACAATAAAGTTCTATTCTATTCTGTTTATTCTATTCTGTATTCTATTCTATTCTCTATTATCCATTCTATTCTATTCTAATTTTGGAAATCTGCATTTTTCCCTAGCTTCTTTCTAAGCCAAAGTGAAAATTAATAATAATAATGAATGGAATGGAGTGGAGTGGATTGGAGTGAAGTAGAATAAAGTAGAGTAGAACTTTATTGTCAGCTGTTATTTGGCCAAGTGTGATTGGACAACACAAGGAATTTGTCTCAGGTGCAGAAGCTCTCAGTGTGCGCACAAGCAACAAGTGTTAAATTATGTTCATAATCACAAATTACCATCGTCATCAACCACAAGATCCAACACTCAGCGATAGTCATAGGGCACTAAATAAGCAATCAACCCCAATCGTAGCAGGATACTCAATAAAAGCTGTCTACCTCAATCATGAGATACAAACAATAAAGGGATGGTCATAGGGATCTAAGGAAACGGGTAACAGGAAAGATGAGAAGGATAATAGCCATAGAGCCTTAGTACACAGTTTTAGAGCCCAGGGAAATAGTTGTTTAGCAGAGTGATAGCATGGGAGGGGGAAACTGTTTTTTCAACAATGAAAACATCGTTGTGTTTCAGGGCACACAGAGATAGGTGAATCTGAAATCATCTCTCAAATGAATCCTGTCAAAGCCGCCTTCCCCGTTTTAGTCCGAGCTAAAAGCAATATCTATATCTATATCTATATCTATATCTATATCTATATCTATATCTATATCTATATCTATATCTATATCTATATCTATCTATCAATCTATCAATCTATCAATCTATCTATATCTATATCTATATCTATATCTATATCTATCTATATCTATCTATCTATCTATCTATCTATCTATCTATCTATCTATCTATCATCAATCTATCTATATCTATATCTATATCTATATCTATATCTATATCTATATCTATATCTATCTGTCTATCTGTCTATCTGTCTATCTATCTATCTATCTATCTATCTATCTATCTATCTATCTACATACACACACACACACACACACACGTATATAAAATTGTTTTATATCACAAATTCCATTTTTATATTTGAACAGTGTGCTTTCTGGGTGTTAAAATACAAACATCTTCATCATCACCATTATCATTGTATACATATAGACACATGTGCGATAATATTAACCGTTATTGAAAAGTATACTATCTCCCATTATCATATTGATTATATCACCATCACAATATTTACTTTCTCGTATCATCCATGGGAGCTTTGAATTCTGCCCACAACAGGAACCAGCAAACATTTGCGGCATTCAGCATAATTGAATCTCCTCCAAATTGCCAAGACCCCCCCCCACCCACACACACACACACAAAAGGGGGAGGTGGGTGTACGATCCACTCAAACGTTCCTAGGAAGTGGAAGTGGCCTTCCAGCAGGGACACATTAGAGGGGAAGAGTTCAAATCCTGACTGAAAATAAGCAGGGGTAATAGATGGGGAGCTGTTCTTAAAAGTCAGTGCCTTGCAGGTTCACCTGGTAGGACTGAAAAGGTAACTAAGGACATGAAGGTGATATAAATGCAGCTACGGCTGTGAACTTTCCGGTCATGACAATTGTCATTATTGCCATTCTAAGAGGAGTCGTCAGACACGACTTTGCAACTAACAACAACCACAACAACCACAAAAGACACACCCTCGCACACGGCCCAGCCAGGATACATGGCATCAACACAACCCCTCCTTCTATCTTATCAGTCCCTCTGTGATGACCCAAAGGGGCGTGGCACAAAGGCAACACAGTCACATAAGTAAGAAGAGTCCCTTTAGTACCTCCAACTTTGCCCCCAGTGTCCAGTTACCTTCGGCTGGAGAAAAAACTCCCCCAAGAACAGTCTTTAAGTGGAGGAAATTCAGTCCGAAAACAAAGAACATACAAACTGTCACTAAAAATCCAAACAAACCACGTTGCAGAAATTAACTTGACAGGGCAGGAGAAGGACTTTCAGACTTGAAAGCACGGCAAAACTCACACAGTTGGGAAGACGCCAGGAGCACAGATAAGCCACAATGATACAAGATAAATTCACATTTGCTCCTAACAACTTGCTGTGGGCAGCTTCCCTTTTAAAACACTGTGTTCCCAGTTGCAGCTAAGGAAGGGAATCAGGGCCCTTTCCTCCCCCGTAAGCCATGCAACTCACGTTGCTCCCTTCTCTGTTCCTCCCTGCATGCTCTAGGATGAAGGGGGGGGCTGGGTCTTTCTTGAACTCCCTCTCCCTTGTTCTACTTCTCGTCTGCTCTGCCCCGCCAGATTTTGCCCTTCCCCAGTTTCTTTCACAGCCAACGGAGCCAGACTCCCATTCCCTGTCAGCTGCTCAGCTTCCCGCTCCAAATCAGATTCTGATACCGCCCCCCCAAACTCTTCCCTAAAGATCTGTTACAACGATCTTGCGCTCCGCCAGGAGAGGAGAGAAAGCTCTTACCTCCCATCCAAAATTCGTGTCCTTCAACGTTGTCCTGGGGAAAGCCACATAGGGCCCGAATCGCTCTCCGGCTTCCAGCTTCTTTTTGGTCCAGATGCCCAATCCTGCTCCGGGAATGGAAGATTCCCTCAGTTCAAAGTCGGACGGGATGGGGATGTCATCGGGAATGTAGACGGGGGCCTCGTACGGAGACCCCTCTTTGGGATGGAAGTCCTCACCCGCAGGGAAAGGGGAGGGGGGCCCAATGGGGATGGGGGACATGATGCTGTCCTCCGTCTCCTCTTCTGCGCTTTCGCCGGCCAGGAGCTCTGCCTCGGTTTCGTACATATTGTTCACAATTTCGTGGTCGCCTTGGAAAGAAAGCCAGAAAAAAAAAAACTAAATAAATTACGAACGTCTTAAGGAAAACGGTTGAGGTTCTCTACCAGATTACTCAGGCATGGTCGTAGAATTACAGCTGTATAAGAAGGGACCTCCAGAACTGGCAAGTCCAACCCTTTGGTCATAGCAAAGCAACGAATAGAAGGGAGAGGGTTCTAATCCCAGATATATCCTATCACACATGTCCAAAAGAGCTGGGAACCATCCGAGGTGCTCAAATTAAAATGGTTGATGCCCTCTTCAGTCTCCAGGAATTTTTCCCCCCACCATGTTTCTTTTCCTAAGCAGGGGGTTGGACTAGAAGACCTCCAAGATCCCTTCCACCTCTGCTATTCTATTCTATTCTATTCTATTCTATTCTATTCTATTCT